CTTTGTAGAAAGGTGGTAATATATGAGCAATATGAAAAGAACTGGATTCAGATCATTAGAGGTTCACAAACCAAACACACGAAGCTTTGGAGGCTGTCCAAAACAAAATCATGCCTAGGTGGTGATGTCCGTTCAATAAAAATTCAATGTCATAATTATCCTCTCACTTTTTCCCCAAAGAGCATTAGTGCTCAGAACTGTGCTGCTGCTCAGCCAATTATATTAATGCTGTGAGAAGACGGATAGGGCCAGCAGCCAATCGCTGTGCCAGGTCACTGCCTGCTGATGCGTAATTTACAATTATCAAGCAATTAGCAAATGAAGTGAAAATTCAACATTCATCTCCACATAACGCAGAAAAACTCATTTTAAAATTAAAAATATGTTTTAATAACTTCATTTTGGCTACAGACACACGGAGAAAAATAAAGCCTCCTTTTTCCAATTTCTCCTCCTTTTACAGCTGACAAAACGCTCTGCTGTCTGAAGCTAGTGACCAAACATATTGTTTGATGTTTCTAAACGAATTGATCTCTTCCTTGCAAGTAAATATCTATTTAACAGAAAAGAATAAAAAAGAAAGCTGTTGATAAAGGTACTATTCACCCAACTAGTATATTTGAAACTGTTACTTAAATTAACCACCTGATGAACATCCTGTCCTGGCACATGGGTGAATTAACTGGGCACCTATCTGCCAGGAGTCCAAAATTTTCTTTTCTTCTCTATATTTAACAATACATGCCATAAAAAAAAGCTGATCTGCAACTAGTCAGCTGCACAAAATAAATGTTCTTTCCCATTAATGATCAAGACAATAGTTTGTCATGCTCACAAGAAAGTAGAGCTCCCATTGCACACACTCACAATCCTAATCCTAGTTTAAAAAAAAAAAAATTAGCAAAAAATAACTTCTAGATAACTTTGGTTTATCCCCCCTCTAGAAAACTACTGCATCTTCCTTACTATATGGTATGAACATTGGAATTGACCTTCTTTAAAAGGGTAGGAAAAAGGCAGAAGAGGTCACCATCAACAGTGAAATCCAAATAGATAAGAGGATATTCTTACATTTCTACGTCCTCTATCATAAAAAAAAAAATCCTGACTTTAAAGACTTGGTAAAGGGAAAAAAAATAGGAAAAGCTACAGGCTCCAGCAGGGGGGTGGGGGGGGAATCCACAACAAACAGCTGATGTAAACATGTAACACTTTTGTATGCACTGGACAATGCTAGTCTTGCTGCACTGATGTCAGCTCCAGATTTTCATCTCACAAGTAAACGTATCTAAGCCAGAGAGAAAGAATTTAAAATCTATATATACACACACAAGACTAAATGATGTCAACTGGAGAAAAAACTGATGGCATTTGACATACTTCTCTCTCCAAAAAGACACCAGCAACAAAGTAAACTTTTTTTCTGACTGTATGGGGTTTAAGAAAACATTCACACTGACAACACAATTTGTTTACTTTTAAAGCAGTCCTTCACCCTCCTTCTGCACGAGAAACACTTATTTCTGACTTCTCTTTTCTTGCACGCCCTGTATTACCACAGTGTCAGAAGGGAAGAGAAGGAGAGGAGGGAAACCAAAGCAACACAGAAAAATCCTCCACAAACCTGTTGCTGTGGATACTGCATTCCTCCCATGGCTGCCGGGGCTCGGCCCTGCATTCCCACGGGATAGCGCTGGGGGCCGGGAGGGCCGTAGGACTGCCCGGGGTAGGGGCTGCTCTGCTGCGTCTGAGAGTGAGGGTTATTGCCCATGCCGTACAACTGAGGTCTCTTCATGACCATTGGATCCATTGGACTGCCCTGTTGTTAAACACAAGCAAAGAAATACTTCAAGATACAGGAAGGAAAAGGTCATAGTAGTCATGCTTCCCACAGGCAAACCATACACGTGTTTTCTCAATGCTTTATACATCAAATATTGACTTGACACGCAAACAGGCAAAGTACCATACTCTGGTTCTCATATTAATTAGGTGAGTTTTGGAATGCTGAGTTAGGGACTTGCATTGCATTTAAAAAAAAAAAAAAATTTGCACTCAAACTTGAGGTCGTCTCTTACCTACAGAAAAAGCAGAAAAGCTGCCCAATAAACTTCAGCTTAAGAAATAACTAAGTATACTGCTGTAAATTGATTAGCATCACTGACTTCAAACATAAATAAAACCGTGTCTATCAAGAGAGACACAAGTAGTGGACAAGCCATTTAACCTTGAGAAAACATCTGTTTTCTTACCTTGAAAAAAGGGAAAGTGGAAAGAAAACAAGGTTTCCAAGAAGCACAATGCATACAGAACACTGTATTTCAGCATTTTCATATTGCTATCATGTGCATTAATAAGTTTCCAGATCAAAAGGCAAGTCATAACCTGAATTTTACATGAAAGTTTATTTGCCTCTTAATAGACCTTAGAAAATCCAAACTGCAATCACGGATGGAGGGGGAAGGGAGGCAAGGGAGGGAAGCTTTATTTTTAGACTTTTTGGCAGCACTTACCAAGCACCGTAACAGTTTCAGGACGGGTGTCAACCATTGTGTGGTATTACTCTCATGTTTTATTACTGAGGACTAACTGAATCAGAAAAAATATCATATTTTGTCAAGTGCAGCACTGTATTGTTAATATGACATCCATTTTTTAATTCCAGAATGCTGGTTATATTCATGGAAGAAAGAGGGGGGGAAAAAGCTTTTAAAAAGCCTATCACAATCTCATCTTTGAGAAAGAGACGCATCCACACACACCCCCTCCTCCCAGGGAAAAAGACCTATTAATTCACCCTGCCAGCCCACCCTCACGCTAGGAGCAGGATTCCTTCTCATAGAACATTTTGTACATGTTTTCCTACAGTGTACTGTTGACCAGTTTCATTTTAAAGCCTCCTATGTAATACGCCTTCTACAAGTCATAGAATCATAGAATCACAGAATGATAGAAGTCCTTTTTGGCTATTATATTCTGATGTAATAGTTATGATGACGATAAATGACATTTCCCCCCCTCCCATCCCTGTTTCTCCTCATTATTGCTGTTTGTACTACTAACACACTATGGCTTTTTTCCCCTACACACACGAAACACGTGCTCTCCCAAGTAGTCACTGCTTAATGAACCATTACATGTTGTTCTCACTCTTCCCTTCCTGCAAGTAAAAAACTCCAGCCTTCTCGCTTTTTTCACTAGCTCTCCTCACCCTTACCAATACCGATTTGCCAGGAACATCACCCAAGCGGAATAAAGCATTCCAAATGTGGACACGCTACGCTGAGGAGGTGGAAACAATAGCCGCCGCCTCCTCACACGACACCTCCATTCACTTCAGAAGAGGACTGCCCTTTTTTGCCACCATAGCAAATTACGCATTCACTTCTAATTTTGGGTGAGTATTACTCAGCAATTTTCCCTTTATTATTTGGCTTCTTTGCGCCCAGATTAGAAGTTTCTATTTTTCACCACTAAATGTCCCTGGGCAATTTACTATTTATATTTCATACTTTTCAAAATCAATGGTTCCCCAACCACTTCAGGCCACCTGACCCATAACAACACTCTAATATTTTAATTTTCTTTTTAGGCTGTCATGCACTCTCACCACACTTTTAACTAAAAACAACACAAACACAAAGGTGCAGCAGATGAACTACAGATCCCTTCTTACGGGGTCCCAGGGGACAACTTAAATTTCCTCCTATAGACCAAGATACTTTATCTATGTTTATTTCTGTGTTTTATGTTCATTCTGTGCATCACCTGTCATATTCATCTTCTCAAATACAAATCCTTGTTTCAAAGCAAGTCTTGAGTTTCCTTCACGAGATTCTCATGAAGACCAACAGCACTGTTCATTGCCACCATCTTCTGCTTCAGGGTATTATTTCCAGGTCTCCACTCCAATAACAACATTTACTCAAATTCAATTTTAATTAATTTTGACCGTAATATTTTCTGTTCCACATCCAATACTTAAATATAATTATAAACAATGCAGATAGCTACACAGCTAAAACAGTCTGACACTTTCCATTATTAAGACTACTTTCAGGTGCGTATAAACTTTGCCAAACTTCAAGCATTTAGGCTGAAATTTTCCAGGCCATATGTATGCCTGAGGCTGAAATTCTCTGGAAAATTCAGCAGAAACAGTTCAGCTATGTCTTAGAATGAGGTCACAGAGAAATCCATCGTTTATGTTCTTACATAAAACACTTAAAAATACCTCTTGAATACCATGCTTTGGGGCAGAGAATTTTAATTTGCCAGGGTGACATTGACTGTTCGGGAAAGGCAAGGTGCGTGCCCCTGTTGAGAGCGAGCACCTGAATGTCACTGGACCATGAGGAGCACGGGAGGAAGAAACGGGAACGCACAAGCGGCGCAGCGAGACTTCATCAGAGGAGTTGCAAGGTGTACGGAGGCAGCCTCAAAATTTCCAGACAAAGAGAGACAATGAGTTAAAAAAAAGCAGCGGAGACAGAAGCGAGGCAGGAAGAGTTGAAGGGAAGAGGAAGAAACAAGGTCATAAGAGTCTCTCTGTCCTCTGGACTAGTGACCTCCACTCACTGGAGTTTTTTGTGTGTGTTAAGAGAGTGACCCTCACTGCCACTTCATCCCTCCTTCTCTTCCTCTCACCAGCCTGCTGTCTCTTTGCTTCTCCCTGCCCTCTCCAGGACAGCCGCTCCTCCTTCCCTCAGGTGACATCCCTCCACTTCAGAAAGGTGGAGGCATGAAGAGCCTGAGACTCCAGCCTGTAGGCGACCCAACGCTGAGACCAAGGGGGCTGTGCTCACAGGGTATGAGTAACAAGGGACCTAGGCGTACTCAAAGTTTACTGTGGACACTGCAATTAAGGCATGAGGATCAAGGACTGGAGATACTGAATATGAGAGGGCTAGACTGAGAGAGCAGTAAATATCCCAAGGCAAGTTACTGGGACAACCCAGCGAGACCTCCCCTAGCTGTCGGCGCTGCCTGTTCCCTCCTCCCTCCAAGGTCTCGGGGAAAGAACAAACAGTACGAAGAGTACTCCGGTCATCTTTAGCACTGGAGAAGACAGACCCAGTGACGAAGCACACCTCATCCCATGCACTGGCCAGTCCCTATAGAGGGTGGCAACTCACCACTGCTATTCCTGACTCCCTTCAGATTAGATCCCAATCGTCTGTGCAGTGCAGCTAAAGGTTAAGACACCTACCAGTGACTCAGTGGCTGTCAACATATTTCTGCAAGGCAAAACAAAAGCCAAATAGCAAGCTCTTCCCCCGGTTTAAGAAACATTACCATTGCAGAAGTTAAGAGCTGTTGGAATTAAGTTTGCCCTTGCAACATTAAACGTGTCTCCTTCACAGATATAACTGTATCGGTCTTTAAATACACGGTCACACTTTTGTCCTCACAGGCAGTGGATGCGCCTGCTCTAGGGATCGGCCGGCAGCAGCGCAGTGAAGGGGCTGTTGTGTGCTATATCGCGCCGGATGCTTCACTCAACATACAGGTAGTGAATGAAGCAGAAGATGGTCTTATCGTTAAGGTAGCTGTATGCTGCTCAGGCAGAACTGGAGCCTACCTTGACATCTGCCACAGTTTTTCACTAAAACAAAAAGTTCTCCAAATTTACCAATTTAATGCATCCCTCATTTCCCGACTTGAAGTCATGGGATTTAAATTGCAGAAAATGCTGCGTATCTACAACTGCAACTACTTTTGAATTTGAAGAGACATGCTTTGAACGTGTTTTCAGAAGCTGTATGTTCCAGAAAATTTAACCGACAGCCATCATAAACAGGCCACTCAAACTTCCTACAGCAATGCCTCAGTTTCCCAACCGTAAAAATGAAAAAAAAAAAATCATCATCTCTTCACCAGAGAGGTGATTTGAGAATTTAATATGACTGTGATCAATACCAGAGAAAACTCCCTAACCAAAGAACAAATTTTGTCTTCAGAACAGTGTACGGTGAGAAAGACCTGGAGCCATACACCTAACAGAAAGAAAAAACAGCTGCTCGCCCAGTACTACGTGTCCTGTACAGTGGAGGTAAAAATGTAATAACAACTTTTTCCAACTTTAACGCATGCACAGTTTTCAGCTTTAATGTTCTTTTAAACTTAAAGTTTCATTTTTATAGCAAGAGTTTCTTTCATCCATAACGTTTTGAAAAGTTATTTAGGAGTTGTTAGTTGAGAAATATGTATTATAATCTTACCTGAAGGTTCCTTTAACATTAAGTTCAAATATTTTCTTTAACGTTGGTTCCAACAGCTTTCAAGGACAAGTTTTGGGTGACAGGATGATTATGACAAGTATCAACCTCTTCATGTTGTAGGGATCAACAACCAACCCCTCCACACCTGCTCCCTAACACTTACCAAAAATGACAGCATTGCTGTAACTGCATCACATTGTAAAACCCAGAGGGCAAGTATGACCATGAACGGATGATGGTATCTTCCATGCCTTTACTTAATTCTATTACATGCTGTACTACAAAGTTTTAATGACTTTTTTATTTTTATTTTAGTTTCACTGCAGTCATCAATATCCATTTATTTCCTTTACCTTCCTTTACAGAAGGGTCCAATTTTTCTCTAGTGCTATTTTACTCCAAATATACGCATTACCTTTTTACCAATTTAGCTAGTCTTTGCTCATGCTATTTTTACGGCCATATTCTTGCCAGGCAAGCCTGAATGGATTTGGCCTTTTGCTTCTGAGTCTGCACCTCCTCTTCAACTTGCTGCATTTCTTTTAAGCTTTACATAGGTCTGCAGTTCCTCAAAATACCTCAGTCTTATTCTTTGCTTCAGTCCACGGTAATATTATAACTTATAACCCCCTTATTATAGTGTCTATCTTGTGTCAGTATTGAATTCATTTGCACAGGTACTATCAGGCTTCATAAAAACAGAGCATTTCGTAAGAGTCCTTGCCTATTATGTACCTTGTGAGCGCATTAAAACACCCAACAGAAGGTTTCCTAATGATTTCACTATGGCCAAGGTTTCATTCCTGGTCTTCAGACTAACAGTCCAACCATTAAGGTAGGACACAGAAAAGCCTACGCTGCCTACAAATAGTAACTGACAACCTTTTCCTGTTACCTGCTCCTTTTTTCAATGCTTTGTGTAGAACACACAAACTCAGCATCCCTGCTATAAGCAGAAGTGGAAAAATTAACATTCTACGCCCACTTGTAAATTCAGTACCACCACCACTTCTGCTCTCCTCCTAGCCAAAACAATCAAATAAATCACCTCATCCCGAAGTACCTGGAGATTCAATTTTACTTTTTCTAAAGTGAGAGAAAAAAAAACACTACCGTTTTCTCTCATCATTTAACCAGCGTTTTTCCACGTATCTCATCTCCAATTAGATCTGAGGCAGGGTGCACACTAGAATAACTTGAGCAGCAGTCTGACCAAGTTGTATCAGCTCTTCCATTTGGGACATTACTGATGTTACATATGCATTATATATACACTGTTAACTTATCAATGTATGTTTCACTTCTAACACCAAAATCTTTATTTGAAAG